ATAAAATTTTGTACTCCAATTAAGCCTGTAAACTTAAAAGTTGCAATTACAATTGGTACCATAATTGTACTTAAAATTGCACTATTATATATGTTGACTCTAGCACATAGTTGTTAGTACATTTGCATCTTTCTTTTTCACTTAAAATTTGATATATTCTTGTTTTATTTTAATGCACATATGATTTTCACTTCTTTTAATTTTTTTTCTTTCCTTCTTTTAAATTTCATTAATTTGTGTAATCTTTCAAACATGTTACTTTTTTATTATTGATTTAAATTTGAGTGTGAATCTCTTTTTATTTCACTGGAAAGAGTGACTCTTATAAAGCTTGGTTCAAACTTTTGGTCTATGACATATTCAAAATAATGCCAGAAGATGAAGTAATATATCTCTATGTAGTAAAAAGGGTTTGAAACCCTTGTTGTATCAATGTAGGGGTGGGCTTGAGCCCACTACCAAATTTTATTTTATTTTATTATTATTATTTTTTTACTATACTAATTTTAGCCTAACCCTAAAAAATTAAATTATTAATAGAATTAGACCACCTAATCAAACCCGTCGACTTAGCCACCATACTTAAAATAAAAGTCCAAGCCAAAAAGCCCAGGGCCAGCCTAATACAAGGAGGTCGCCTAGGGCCTCAAAATTTATAAGCCCATGGATGATAGGTCAACAAAAAAACAAAATATTTTTAGGGCAAATCATTTCAGTGTCCCCAATCGCCTCCATCTCTATTCTCATGACCGCCTCCATCTCTTTGCAACTGCAAGCTACGACATCTACAAGAATCAGAAGTTCAAAACCCATATATTTCAGTTTATCTATCTGTCTACAAGAATCAAAAGTTCAAAACCCGTATCGGCATATCATTTCAGATTGTTCAAAAAATCAAAACCCATATCTCTTAGTTTCCCTTGCTTGCTGTTCCAGTTCGGGTTCGTCGTTCGCAAGCTTCAGCCGCTGTCTCTCAACTCTCAAGCTTACCCCCCTCTCTCTCTCTCTGCAACTGCTAACTTGTATGTATGGGTTTTGTTTTTTTTTTTACTAAATCAACTAATCGAGGTCTGTAATTCTTGTTTTGCAAACTAAATCCTATTTGGTGAAATTTTTTTTGATCTTTTTTATAATTATTATTATTATTATTTTTACAATATAAAGTAACAAAATGCACTGTGATCTACATTTTATTTCAGCTAAACAAATATATATCTACATTTTATTTCAGCTAAACAAATATATATCTACATTTTATTTCAGCTAAACAAATATATATATTTTTAAGGGTAAAATGCTAAAACCCCCCTGAACTATACTCTCTCTCCCTAAAAACCCCCCTGAACTTTTTTTTTTTAACATTTAATCCCCTTAACTATCCAAATTTTTGCAAAACTTACCCATCGGTAAGGTTTTGTTTGGTTCCTCCTGCTAAATAGGCGCGTGATAATCACATGCCAGGGCTGTAACTTTAAAATGACAAAGCTGCCCTTATTGTATAAAACCAAAATTTTTAATACTTTCCAAAAAAAAAAATAAAAAATAAAAAATCCAAAATTAAAACCTGAAACAAAATTAACCCCAAAACATTGACTCTCTCTCTCTCTGTATCTTCTTTCCCAACTAGCCACTTCCACCATCCATGGACGCCACCCCCGCCTCTCCCTCTCTCTCGAATCCAACTCCATCTCTTGAAGAAGATGAGAAAAAAAAAATTAAGACAAACAACAACCCCCTCTCTCTGTTTTCTAACCCTAGGAATCCAACTTTTCCTGCAAAATCAAAGAGTTTGCAACAATCAACACCCCCCCCTCTCTCTCTTTTCTAGACCTTGGAACCCAACTTTCCTGCAAAATCAACGCAAAAGAAGAAAACACACAAAAACACACACAAACACACATCGCAGAAAACTCTAAAATTAGGGTTGAACCCTCTGCAATCCAATCGGGTTGGGTCTCAGCAGGTGGGTTAAAATCCACAAGCACTGGACACAGCGATGACGACGACGAACAACGAAGGCGACGACGGCGATCCAATTGGGTTTCGATCTGAACATCAATTCGGCAATGAGACTATGCTCTCGATTTGGGTTCACTAAAATAAGCAATTGGGTTTAATTTGAACCATCAATTCGGCGACGAGTGAAAGGGGGGTGTGTCGCCGGCTGAGTTACGATTTCAATGAGGAGTGTGAGGGTATCGACGGAGAGGAGTGGTGAGGGTTTTGTTTGGATTTCAATTCCTCTGTTTCATATTCAACTATTTCTCCCGAAAATGTTTCCTCTGGATATCTTCAATTCTCTGGACAAGCACAGATATATATATATATATATATATATATATATAGACACACACATAGAGGGAGGGAGAGAGCTGCTGTTTATGCTGCCGTAGTTGGAGCGGCGAAATCTTGCGGTTATGATTGATGAAGAAGATAAACAGTGTAATGATAAGGCTGTGTTTGGGTAATTAGGTGTAACAGTAAACTAAGGCTGTGTTTGGGTGTGATTTGGGGATAAACCATCAAAACTGCGTTGTTTCAGTAAAGGATAATTTTGTAATTTCTTTTTCCGGTGACGGAAACTTGCCTTCTGTCCTTAAATGCAACTTTTTAATAGTTCAGGGGGGCATTTGATAGTCTAGGGGGGTTTTGTGCAATTGGTTGATAGTCCAGGGGGGTTTTTTGCACTTTACCCTATTTTTAATTTCTATAATTTCTTCTTCTTCTTCATCCTTTTTTTTTTTTTTTGGTCAATTATGTCTACAAGAAAATTTGAATCTGGGCATGAAAAAAAAAAAAAAAAAAAAAGAATCTGAATTGGATTAGAAATCTACAGAGATTGAATTTGAAACAATTTTTATCAACATGCCGAGCTTTTGAAGATGGAAATCTTTTCAGAACTTCAAAAAAAAAAAAAAAAAACAATAACTTTGACAAGCAAAAGTACTTCTATAGGGTAAAACTCTAAAGTTACTTCTTGAAAATTAAAATACTTACGAAAATCATGCTTTTGAGTGAATTCCATAGTGTTGGAAGGGGCTTACCATGAACTACCTCGCACTAATAGGATTAGTAAATTGGTCAAAAGAAGAGATAGGGTACTGAGTGATGAAATAAATTGGTATTTTTTTTAATTAATTACCCAAATAGGAATTTCTATGCCTTAATCAGTCAATTGTCTAAAGAAACATTGTTAGTTAACTAAAATTGAATTAAACAACAATTGATTTTGGTTGATATATTTTGATTTAGCCCACCCCATTGAGAAATCTTGGATGTTTTGTTTCACATAGAAATACAATATGTGTAATGCACGAAGGATATATTCAATCTTTCTGTCATATTTTTATTTTTAAGTTTTGGTTTTTGATTTTCTTTTGTTCTTAGAATGCAGAATATCAGGATATTGAGTTGTTAATATTGAAGATTATTCGTAAATTGATGCATTGTACTTTGTTATTAGATTAATTTAACATAAGCGCTGAGTATAATATGTGCTAATCACACCTATCCATAATCACACCACTTTCTATTGATAGGTGTCCAACATTTTGACTGAAAGCATAGTTGGGTTGGGTTGATACATGATACAGATAGTACTTAGATGGTGGTGTTTTAATTGTTTTGAGTGAGATTGTGAAACCTCTTCCTCACAACTTGAGTGTTTTCTTATTTTTAGGGTTAGCATCGGGCCTTAACATTTAGCAAGAATAAGGTTCAAGAAACATGCCTCCACAGTCATCAGGTAACAAACTCTTTACTTTTTCTAAAATTTTAATTGACATTTTTAACTATTGGTTACGTTTATTTATTCATGTTTTACATATTGATTTTTTGTTTTTGTTTCTACATACATATATATATATATTATTGTTTTGATGTGATGCTCGAACAATTTATTAATGGGAATTAAAGATTTGGAAGTTTAGTTTTCAATCCAGAATATATGTTTTACAAGTTTATTGATGCTTTTAAAACTTTTCCTCTTTTGTCCTAATAATATAGGTCTCTTTTATGAAAGAGGAGAGTTGATGGGAATGGGTGGAGTCGGCAAAAAGAAAATAAGGTATGTTTTTTTTGCCTAACTAATTGAATTATACAAATCTCCTTATCGTTATAGTAGTGATGTTGGTTTTAAAATGGACAATTATTATAGGAAGTCTCTTTTCAGTTTATCTTAATCAAGTATATATCTATGCAAGAGGATTATTTGATTCTAGATGAGGATGTTAATGTCAACGTTATGAGGATATTGATGTCAACGTTGACTTGAGTGATGACGACTGATGATGTTGATAATATGTTGATGCACTCAAATTAAGTCATATCACTTTGATGGAAATGTAGAGTTGAAGACATACTATTGAGCATAGTATCTAATTCTTTTAGTTACAAGAATCTTTGTTCACTTTACACACGATTTTTCAGTTCCTAAAATTCTGAAACAATGGTGTGTATCATCTACTTGGACTCTCTTCTTTTTCATCTCTCCAAACCCTAATTTTATCTGTCGCTTGTATTCTTATTTTGGTAAAATGGGTGTGCAACAACATCAAGAGGTAAGTTCTGATATACTGTCTCCATCATCCATGGTTTCCTTTTATTTTCTGGCTTTTGACATGTACTTCTCAGATTCTCACATAGGCAAGGTACAAGATCTTGCATTTTCCCGTCCCGATAACAAACTTTTGGTCATCACTTGCGGTGATGATTATACCATAAAGGTTAATTAATTTTTTTGGTCAATTATTTATATTGTTGCCCTCTTTGCATATCTTAGCTTATCCTTTCAACATCAATGGATGGAAAGATTACCCTCTGGTCATATAACAAACTTTAAGCAAAGGGCACTTTAGATGTTTTCAACATTAGCCTTTAGTGCTGATGGGAAAAGGTAGTTAAAAATATATTATCTCTTTCTCATATGTTTACAAAAGACATGTTTTAAAACCAATGTGATTCTCAACATTGCAGGCTTTTTTCGCGAATCATTGTGAATTTTGATACAATTAAGAACAAGTACTTGGTGGCAGGTGATTCTAATTTGATAAAATTTTGGGACATGAACAATAGTCATCTCTTGACGACTTCTGATGCGGGTGGAAACCTACCTGTAAGTTTTTGTAGTCTTATTTTTAAGATTTCGTTTCTTATTTTAAGCTTGAATGGTGGAGGAAAGAAGTTTGGTCTAAGTTGCTTTTTTCATTTTTGATTCTTAGACAACGCCAGCAATTTGTTGCAACAGGGAGGGCACATTATTGGCTGTTTCTGCCAATGATAACAACATCAAAATATTAGCAAGTGTCGCTAATGATACTGGTGCCATTACTGCATCTGGGACCTTTACCAAGGTTAGTCTTTTATTTGACCACCTAATGGAACTCCGAATAGAAAATCCATCTGAAGATTGTTATTTCTTGTTGCATAAGGTCACCAGTGTTAAACATATCTGTGTAATGCCATGTCATATGGATTATGTTTTGTTCTCATATTTGTCTCTATTGTATTATATATTGTACTTGTTCATCATCATCATCATCAATTCTATATGCATTTTTTTACTTGTTTGGATGTTTGGTTTTGTATTCTTCAATTCAAATTAGACTTTTAGTGCCTAATTCTTAGCTTTTTGCAGAGTACTTTTGGTGATTCTAATTTGATAAAATTTTGGGACATGAACAATAGTGATCTCTTGACGACTTCTGATGTGTGTGGAAACCTACCTGTAAGTTTTTGTAGTGTTATTTTTAAGATTTCGTTTCTTATTTTAAGCTTGAATGGTGGAGGAAAGAAGTTTGGTCTAAGTTGCTTTTTTCATTTTTGATTCTTAGACAACGCCAGCAATCTGTTGCAACAGGGAGGGCACATTATTGGTTGTTTCTGCCAATGATAACAACATCAAAATATTAGCAAGTGTCGCTAATGATACTGGTGCCATTACTGCATTTGGGACCTTTACTAAGGTTAGTCTTTTATTTGACCACCTAATGGAACTCCGAATAGAAAATCCATCTGAAGATTATTATTTCTTGTTGCATAAGGTCACCAGTGTTAAACATATTTGTGTAATGCCATGTCATCTGGATTATGTTTCGTTCTCATACTTGTCTCTATTGTATTATATATTGTACTTGTTCATCATCATCATCAATTCTATATGCATTTTTTTACTTGTTTGGATGTTTCTTTGGTTTTGTATTCTTCAATTCAATTAGACTTTTAGTGCCTAATTCTTAGCATTTTGCAGAGTACTTTTGGTGATTCTAATTTGATAAAATTTTGGGACATGAACAATAGTGATCTCTTGACGACTTCTGATGCGGGTGGAAACCTACCTGTAAGTTTTTGTAGTGTTATTTTTAAGATTTCGTTTCTTATTTTAAGCTTGAATGGTTGAGGAAAGAAGTTTGGTCTAAGTTGATTTTTTCATTTTTGATTCTTAGACAACGCCAGCAATCTGTTGCAACAGGGAGGGCACATTATTGGCTGTTTCTGTCAATGATAACAACATCAAAATATTAGCAAGTGTCGCTAATGATACTGGTGCCATTACTGCATCTGGGACCTTTACTAAGGTTAGTCTTTTATTTGACCACCTAATGGAACTCCGAATAGAAAATCCATCTTGAAGATTATTATTTCTTGTTGCATAAGGTCACCAGTGTTAAACATATCTGTGTAATGCCATGTCATATGGATTATGTTTCGTTCTCATATTTGTCTCTATTGTATTATATATTGTACTTGTTCATCATCATCATCAATTCTATATGCATTTTTTTACTTGTTTGGATGTTTCTTTGGTTTTGTATTCTTCAATTCAATTAGACTTTTAGTGCCTAATTCTTAGCATTTTGCAGAGTACTTTTTAAGTGACATGCTGATTTGATTAGAACACAAAATATCTTACAAATTCAGTCATTTATTTTAAATTAATTCGTCCTTATTGAATCTCTCTTACGGGCAGGGTGTGGACAAAAATGATCCCGACACAGAGAGGGAAAAAATTATCGAGGTGCAGGAGGAGAAAATCCGACATCTCCAGACATTGGCTATTCAACTTGCCAATTTTTACCTTCTGTTCTAAGAAGTTATATTCACTACGATATCGAATGGGTCAACAACTCTTTTAAGTGTAGGAATGCATGGTTCCCATGCTCGTTTCTGGGGTAGCAACCTCACCTTATCTGGTCGCAATATACATGATTGGTTAGGAGTACCTAAAGAGTTCAGCAACACAAGATGAAAATAATCTCGTCTGTAATAAATTTAAAAAACCAAGAGTGGTATCTTCTTCAATTTTTTTTTTCTTAGTTGGTACTTACACATATGTTTCTTCTAAAATTTGAACCCCTGATCTCCTTTTAGGAAGTAAGAGGCTAATGCTGTTAGGTCATTGGCCCGTTGGTTAAACTTCTTTAAATTTTGTGACTCAGCTACAAGAAGGATTTCATAGTGGTATGCAACGAGGTTTAGATGCCATCAGGTCAAGGAAACGAAAGCGGAAACAGTATTTTGCTATATGTATGATCTTTTTCATCGGCTTCGCCATAATAACAATGTCCTGTTGCTAGTGGATACTTTGCAAGACACACAAAATCAAGTCGATACACAGTGATCATAATTGCGTCGGGTTTTGTGAGCAACGCAACTGTATAGGATTATGCATCAAATATCTTTGATGCATGGATCGAGTCCTCATTCTAATGTAATCTCATGTTACTAGCTAACAGCCATGAGTGTTCAATGTTTTTGTGTTTTGGGGGGGCTAATTGCACATTATGTACAAATTTCTTTACAAGAGGAAAAAGAAAAATATAACCTTCGTGTTCATGCATTTGCAAGAATATATTTGTCTTTTGCAGTGGTTGGCCTTTTGGAGGCATTAGATTTTCAGAAGTGGAATAAATTTTGAGCTCGTGCGAGTTTATCTGTAATATATTTTGAATCATTAAAAATGTTCTCGTTGTTTGTGATTTTTACTTGGTTGATAATTACCTGATTAATGATAAGGCATGTGCATATATGTATGTGTGTGTGTGGAATATTATAGTGGTAAAGCAGTTGATGTGTGTTATATTAAGTCCTTTAATTCATGGACTGATCATTGATACAGATGGACCTTCATCAACCCTTCGCAGCTGGTGGTAAAGCACTAGTCCTTTAATGCATGGACTGATCATTGATACAGATAGACCTTCATTAACGCTTTCGCAGGTTGACTTTGTAGTATTGAGTTTTATTGATTGATTCATCATTTTTCAAAAAAAATAAAAATAAAATTGTTGAACTCTTGTTTACCCTTGGAGAATGGTATTCTACATTCCCTTCTTATTTAGCAACAAATGATTTGAGTGTTAGTTGAAGATTGCAATTTTTTTTTGAAATACTCAAGTAATCACAAGTTTCATGATATTTTCTCCATGGTTGGCAAATAAAATAGCAATGTGTTGGGAGATGATTTCTGTTTGATTTAAAATACATTAAACATTTACAGCCTTCTCCTTGTTATTTAGCAACAAATGACGAATGTAGTGTTAGTTGAAGATTGAACCATTTTACTTATAAGAGAGTGCAATTTTTTTTTAAAAAAAATACTCAAGTAATCACAAGTTTCTTTATATTTTCTCCGTGGTTAGCAATAAATAGCAACAGCAATGTGTTGGGAGATGATTTCTGTTTGATTTAAGGGATCACATAAGCATGTGATGTCTTGAATAAGACATTCTTTTTGAGACAGAAGGAGTACAATACTCAAGCTAAAAAAGATTTGGTCATCATGTGATGCCTTGAATAATTTAAAACTGAACAAATAAATCATTCAGATTCAAACAAAATAAGATAAGGTTGTTTTCAGTAAATAGCTCTGTGCTTGTGCTTCTACGGTGGATGGGGCTTTATTCAACAATTATATACCCTAATGTTAAAAATGGACTCAAATGAATTTTTAATTCTTTTCATTAAAATGTTAGGTTTATTTTTTTGTTATGGAATTAAAAAATTGGGTAAAGTACAGCCTTAGGTTTGCCAAAAAAATACACAGGTAAAATTTATTAGTTTTTTGGACAAAGACATCAATTGAAGGTTCAAAAATGGACAAAGACACTCTTGACATGAGAAATTAACCAAATTATCCTTTGACCGTTTAGGGAACCTTTTTAACTCTACAATTTAATAAATTGGACCAATCTACCCTCATGAACAATTTATGCAAAAAAAAAAAAAAAGTAAAAAAAAATATATATTATCTCCTCTCAATACCTAAAACGGTAATACCTAATACATTCTCTCTCTCAGGACCAGATAACGACGGCGATCGTCTAGACAAGGGCCACCGCCACCGCCCTCTCTCTCTCTCTCTCCATATATATATATATATACACACACACACACGGCAACACCCCGGGTAGGTAGACTAAAGCCCTCTACCACCACCATCACCTATCTTCCCTTCCACCGTTCCACCGTCACCATACAAAGCCACACATACATATCTATATATATATATATATACACATACATACAAACACAGAAGTGTTCAAATTACACACATATAACTCAAAATCCAAGCAATATGAAATTAGGTCTTTTGATTAGGTGCTCAAAATAGAACGGTAGACCTGGACTCTGAGACTAAAATTGGAGGGGAGGACCAAGCTTCGATGAGGCGATGACAATGCGGCTACGCACTGAACAGTGAGGTGAGGTTTAGAAACCGAGCAATAAGAGACCGACGAGCATAAACATCACCAGTAAGGCTGAGGAGGCTGAACTGGCCATCGCCTCTGTCATCCAATTAGAGCCCTTTCTGTGGGCAGATGAGAACTGTGGATAGTAATGTGCGCAGATAAGGAGGTGATGTATATATATGTGTGTGTGTGCGCGTGTGTATGCGTGCGTGCGTGTGTGTATATTGAACTTGCCCCCCTTCTCTCTGCAACTGCAAACTACAAAATCTACAAGAATCAGAACTTCAAAACCCATATATTTCAGTTTTATCTATTTGTCTATAAGAATCAAAAGTTCAAAACCCATATTGCCCGCTGCAAGAATCAAAACCCAGATTTTTCAAAACCCAGATCTGCAAGAATCAAAACCTAACTACAAGAATCAAAACCCAAATCTTTCAAAACCTAGATCTGCAAGAATCAAAAGTTCAAAACCCATATCGCCCGCTACAAGAATCAAAACCCAGATTTTTCAAAACCCAGATCTGCAAGAATCAAAACCTAGCTACAAGAATCAAAACGCATATCGCCCGCTGCAAGAATCAAAACCCAGATCTTTCAAAACCTAGATCTGCAAGAATCAAAACCCAGATCTGCAAGAATCAAAAATTCAAATGCAAGAATCAAAAATCAAAACCCAGATATTTCAGTTTCCATCGCCCGTTGTTCCAGTTCGGGTTTGTCGTTCACAAGCTTCAGCCGCTGTCTCTTAACTCTCAAGCTTGCCCCCCTCTCTCTCTGCAACTGTTAACTTGAATGTATAGGGACGGCGGTAGAGAGAGAAAGAAGAGAGAGAATAGAGAAAGAAGAAGAAAATGGTTTATTTTTTTATTTTTTTATTTTGGGTTTTGAGTGGGGTTCAGGTTGAACCCGATCTCAACCCGAATATGTCTGGGTTTTAACAAAATCCAACCCGAACATGAACCCGATTTGTAAACTTAAAGTCCAAATTTCAAAATTTTGGGTTAGGCCAGGGTTGGGTTGGGTTAGCTCGCTCAAGTTGTAGCCCTAGGTCAATTCTCTGGTCCGAGGATTAGTAGAGAGGAGAAGTGTGAAAAAATGAAAAAGAAAAAGAATTCGTTGGTAACCGCTTTTGCTCGATGTTTTTATTTTGACTCGGAGCCAACTTTAAAAATAAAATAGATAGTTTTGCTTGGTGTTTTTATTTTGACTTGAAACCAACTTTAAAAATAAAATGGATGGTTAAAAAGATCATTTATGTGTATATTTTTGGTAAACATTTTGGTACTAATTAGGGCCCAAAGACTACTGTACATCTCGTGGGTTCAAGTCTCCTCCACGTGGGTGTATAAGTTTCATATAAATATATATGAAGTAACTTAGGAATGTGGAGTTGGTCTTAGATCTTAATAAGAAGCCTTTGGCCTTGGGTTATGCCCCAAGTTTTACTGTAATTATTGTTAATTATTGCTTTTATTTACTGACCAAAACTGAGTGGTAGGAATTGCCAAAGGGCATTTGAATCTGATTCAGATGTGACAACAGATTGCGCACAAAAATGGTTGCAACTATAATCGTCCTTTCGTTTGCATTAATTTATTGGTCGGGCGAATTAGCCAAAAAAACTCCTATGCATACCGAATTTATAATTCTTTATATGTTTTAGAAATATTTAATTTTTGAGTAAATAAGGATTTGATTGTTAAAAAATAACTGAATAAAATATAAATAAAAAATTAATCAAATATGAAAGGACTATAGTTGGTTTTCTTCTTCATCGCTGCTAGTTTATAGTTGGTCGCGAGGCAATCATGAGACTATGAGAGAGAAACTGATGGTGATAACGATCGATGATGAGCAAACGATGAGAACAACGACGTGACTCC